CTAAATCAAGTATGTAAAGTCTGTTGTGGCTTATTCTTATGTGGCCAAATGCGCAGGAACTTTGAAGAATTGAAGAAGAAAGATTGCAGACGCCTCGAAGTTCTGAGAATCAGCTCTCGTTATTTGGGATACAGATAGTAACGCAATGCCGTTTACTTTGCTTATGTATCCAAGCGCATACGGAACGCGAATGCTGATCAAATTCTTCAATTTCTCCAAAAGATCAAACTAAAATAAAAAAGTTGTTAATGCGGCGGAAGGTAAACGCCTTCTTCTGATTGTGGCCGTATATAATTATTTGTACTTACATTCTACAGAACAGAACGTTTAGACAGCCGATATATTTATTGTGAAAATCATGGCACTTGCTTAACATAGCTATAATATAATAGCTAATCTTAGTGAATCCGATCTCCGCCTAGATGGCAAAGTACACCATTCCTACGATCAATTCACGTAAAACAGACGTTTCCTACAAAAATCAGTCATTCTTACTGCACACAATATATCCAGCCCATAATAAATATATGGCGATACTGACCTCTCGTCCTCAACGGATTCCGGATAATGCAACTAAGATAAATCATCCGTCACTGTGCATTTTTACCGGATTCTATACAGTAGACTAACGTATCTAAGCAAAAAAAAAAATGATGCCTTGAGGCGTCGGCAAGAGCACAATAGCGTTCGATTTTGCATAGTGCAGAGGATGGATACCATTTTTGGCCTTGTCCTACACCACAGGAGTCGACGGAGCGTGCGAAGCCTTTAGGACTTCTTTGTTGCTGTTTGGATAAGGCGCGGGCCGCACGTCGCAATGCTCCGGTTTCTGAGCCAAGCATTAAGACGCAGGATCGATCATCTAGAATAGCGGCGACAGAATGGTAATACAAGAGCAACAGGAGATTTCTCAGGTAACTGTGTACGACTAAGGTTGGAATACACGGTAGCCTGGCCCGTTCAAAATGCAACCTTAATTATGGCGAACACATGGAATAAATCCTCTTAAAAGTACTTGTCTAACGTTGTCAATAAGGAAAAATCGGAACCAAAACGATAGGTTCTGCCTATTTTCTACTTGCAAACTAAAATCCTCAATTTAATATTGGAACATCAAACAGATGTTCCTGTGCAGTCTAGAACCATCCTTGAAGATATGCCTCAGATGCTTGAAAATAGCCGCATTTTTTGTTTTTTTTTATTTTATTTTTTTTTTATCTTATTTTATTAGAATCATAAAATTGGTTTATCTTTACGTCGCCTATGTGCAGACATGATTATTTTTCTTCTACCCAAACCAATCCGTTTTTGCCCAGCCTTTCGTAAGCCTGATCTTTTCATAAGAATTAAATGTAGGTCGAAGGCCAAAATTTTAGGCGATTTTCTCTGACCAGCTTTAAGTATCATCTTTGAAACGTCGGTGTCGGTGAACCTCGTTAAGGTTTTTTTTGTTAACAAATAACTCTCATGCAGGATCGCGCTGCCTACGGTTTGCTATTCACAGCGAATTCTGAAGCGAAATCCTAATGGATGAGAGCAGCAAATTTAGGACCTATACAATTATTACTATACTAAAGGTACAATACGGGCTTTGAAATGTTACCTTTTATTCGTAAAGTGTAAATCAACAATCAAATTAGGACAGAAACAGTTTCAAAAATATCTATTTTTTGACATGATCATCTATCTTCGTATTAGAAAATTAGACTACGCTATTGCTCGTAAGAAATGTTTCCGGTGTTCTACTTACGCTTCCAACACGAATCCATGTGTATCCGCCACCGGAATTCTAGCCTAGACCACTACCTATTTCTAATTTGACTTAGGAGATTTTTGCCGCCTTGGACCTTGACAGCCCTGTGTGGTAAGCTGCATATATGAGTTGCATTGCAAAACTCGGGTAGCCGTTCATTTCACGCACAAAGGCGCGCTGTTCGGAAAAGCCCCTAAAACATGATCTACCATACTTGAGATACGTCTGATCTCATGGCGAAATAGTACGAGAATTATTAATTAGGTAAAACTTGGAAAAATATCGGATAGACAGACACGAATGGTTTAAGTAAATAGCGGCTAACAACATACTCTCATAGTAATGAAATGCACAATTTCTCAGTCTCTTATCGAAAGAAAACGATCCGGAACTTGACTTCTTTTATCAGTATCAGTATTAGATTAGAACGAGTTTCAACGATCCAACGACGATTCAAACGAGTTTAGACATGATTATACAGAATATCTGTATATTACAAATGGTACGGTTAAAAATTATAATCGAAAATAGGTCAGAAGAGAAGCAAACATGAGCAAGTGTAGGATTTTCGAGAAACACCGGATCAAGCTGAACAAAAAATCAGTTTTTTTATCTACTGAATTTCATTGGTGCTTTGACAATCTGACATGCACATCGTAAAAGTTCGTCAAAAGCCTAAAAATACCCTATATTTCCGGCAAAAAAAAGCTTTGCTATCTTTTTGCTTATCTAATCGGTACTAGTTATCATTTTCTATCTACTGATTAGCCAATTATTTGTTAAAATTACTGGTTTCTACTTTTTCAAGGAGTACAGTTTCAGCGTTAGCAAGAATCGTTATGTAAGGAAATGCGACCGGGCTTAGTATGCCTCAATGACCCATCAGGGTATGGACAACTACAAAAAAGAAATTTCCAGTAGATCCAAAGCCTGTCGTACTGTGTGGTGGTAAAGACTATCTGTGTTATGTGCCAAATATATAAAATAAACCATACTTTGCGTTTTGACGTTGAAGCATACTGCCGTTGCACCATTTCACGGACAGAAGCTGGGCAGACCTGCTATGTTCCATCGGGCTACACAATTTTTTGCACACTCTACGTTCACTAGTGGACGCCACTAAAGCCGTACTACCGTTTTTCTGTTAATCTCATGATTCTCGTGTTAGTCCTTCTAGCGCGAGGTGACGTATTTTTCATTACTTCGTTGTTGTTACTTGTGACTCCTGTGGGACATCACTTCTTTATTATTATCTGAATTTACCTGCCCGGATATATTGTACGTTCATTAGAGTTGTTACTTTGGTTCGATTCTCTCTGCAGTCCGTCCTCTGCAGTGATTTGTCCCTTGTAGCAGGTGATCCGTGTTGTTCTGTCATATGCGTGAAATAAGCTCGATTACGAAACTTTCTAATAATTGCAAGATCCTTCTAGTAATTGTCTCCGTGTAGGATAGCAGCTTCCAGTCTCGCTGACTAATAATCAGAAGGTGCTAGCTACATGCCCACGTTCACTGGGATCCGAAATTTACCGTGGCAAATTTTTTTTTTACCTTTCAGGGTCTGTTTCTGCTTTCTCATATAGTCATAAATAGGCCTGAAGCCTCACTACTTCTCCCAAACCAGTTGACTAAAAGTGGTTACATAAATCGCGAAGTAAACGATCTTCTGTACACAAATATCACGGAAAAAATTGCGTTGAAGCGGAGATGTGATCAAATGTTTATGGCTGGGCAAATGTCATTACGGAAATGTTATCGATTATAGCCATCAAGGGCATTTAAATCTATTGAATATTTTATATGAAAAAGTTGGTAAGCCGTAGTTCACCACTACTGTTTATCCTGAATTCAGATGGTCCGTAATAAAAACGAGTAAAAGCGCGGAGTAAAAACGCGATGATCTACGAACATTTATGATCAAAGATGTCAGCAATATCGAAATAACGGCCAGTTGCCATCGGGTACTCTCCCGGTTTAAATCGGTGTGATTTTGTAGCAGAGTTTCTATGATCGAGACAAAAACCGTGTTGACGAATCGTCGGCAGGGGGCCAAATGGATATTCCACATGCTACAAATGTCACGTTATTAATATACAATGCCTACGAAGTATTTCCTATTGTAAATATGTCAAGCAGAACATTTCATTGGGAGCAGTTCAGCAACGACAAAACGTTTATCTACAGAGCGGGTATTGTGCATTTTCTCTCTATAGTCGAACGAATCAGAGAGAGATACAGATTACACACACCTTCTCGAGAAAGCACTAAATAAAGCTTTCGCAGACTTTCAGCTTTAGTAATTTTCAACGGCTCGTGCCCTTCATGCGCTGGAAAAAATCACCATCTGACATAGCATATTCTGCGGTGTCTTGCGTGCGCTGTCTACACGTACTTCAGAGCAACGAGACGGCACGGCGAGCTCGGGAGCCCGTCAATCATACGCCTAGAAAGCTTATTCAAAGCTCCAAAACCAGTTACTATTTAGTACTAAAGAAACTGATCTGCAATGAAAACATCGCAGTACCGATTTCCTGTCAACAGTGAGGTCAAAGTATCGAAAATTGCTCGAGAGGAAAGCCTTATCGATTACCCGTGATTCAGATCAATCTAGCTGAAGTTATATCATCGACTGAAAGAGAGACTGAAAGTTAAATTCTTGGTGGCGAGTTCGTTCATTATGAGAATTATTAACATTCAGACTATGGATAGTCCCGCTGAGGTGTTGATAACGTTAATACTTGTTTTTTCAAAAACATCTGGCAAACTACGTCTCTATGACGACAAATTTTACATACACAAACGGATAGGCTATGATTCTACCCTTCGTGAATTTGTTCGAAGCTGGCTGTTCTAATAAATCCGAATCTCCATCAATACAACCTCAGTGCCACAAACAAATATCATACAGCCATCACATTGATATCTTTTTCGAGCACGAATTTGCAGGTCTAACTGGCCTAGTGGATCTAGTTCCCGTTGGTGGACTGCGTATACACTGCGAGGCAAATAGTCTGGCAAACTAATGCTTGGATATGTAATACTTTTTCTGAAAACTATTGCCAAAAAAAACAAATTTCTCTGAAAAACTTGTCCTTTGAAAAGGCAAAAAGGAGTAATGATGATATCCGTGGTAAATTTCCCAAAAAAAAAACTTGTCAGCAGAGAGTGAGGTACAGGACCAAGTTATTTAGATGCGCTCTGTGTACCTGACCCCGGCGACCGTCAAGTCACATCGAACAGGGCGCATGCTTAGAGTTAAGAATATCATTATAAAATGCATTCAGGTTAGGCAAAAGAACCAACACAACCAATAGCTTTAATTCTACAGGTACATGTCTATCTTTTAAAATGTCACTTAAGGGCGTTCTTTTTTGAATAGTGAACAAAGCCATTGGCATGATTCTTCTCTTTTGGTCACGTTACATGATTGTATATCTCGGTAGCCTGCAAAGTTTAGCTTGGCGCAGGGTTGCTCCTCTCACTCTGATAATTGCATTCGACACCCGTCCGATCAGACGCTGAAAAAATGATTGATTAATTGAAAACATCCGTTGGCAGCATACATGTACCTCATGTGGCTGGACACATTCCCTCTTAATTTCTACCGAATTCTGGGAGACAATACGATGATGCTTGATGTGGCGGCGTGGCTTTTTCCGTTTGCTACAATGCCCAGATCACTGAACGAAGGTATTTTCAAAATCGTTGGTTTACCTGATGTCTGTTGTAAACTGAAAAATTGTGTTCCTCGGGGCGTGTCCTTTGACGTATGCCTGTTGTCAATCTTCGACTTACACTCGATGTTCCTATTTTTGCTTTTCTCGATCACAGACACGATTGGGAATTGACCCCGCTTCTCCCGTGGGCTCGAGCCTGCAACGAACCTAGTCATCATACGAGTCGGATTTATTACTAAATCGGAATTAGTAAATTATAGGAGAAACGGAGTAGGCTCACTGGGACTGAAAACAGCCTTTACATAGACATCTAGCTCGTACATTTTTTATAGAGTATATGTTACTAACAATAGAAGTCACCGTGTCTTGCGTATGTTATTTTAGCTATAAAAAATTGAACTTAAAAAGCACTCATTCGCGTAGGTCTTTACTGTACGCGCATATCGTTTAGATATAATTATCCTTGGGCAACAAATAGGAACGAAACGAATTAATTTCATACCAGTTGTATACATGTCGCATACGACGGACGTGGTCTTCATTTTCCGGGAAGTTATTCGGGTGTGGTAAATGGCCTGCATAACTTGTATGCGATGTAGAGCATCTAAACGACTCGAGATATTGGTCATGAAGTCTGTCGATGGTAGCAAGATGTGCAGCAAGGTCGGAACAGGAACTGCTCACCGGCCCTGGCGACGGACTCGCGCCTGGGCCGTTTGCCCAACAGTAACGTACCAGATCTGTAACACCATGCTGCAGTGACCGTTTAGATCGTTAGAAATCTTACTCGCATCTGCGTTCTTCGCGCAACAATAATGAAGCGGATGGTCGAGAGAGAGCGAGAGAGAGTCAGCAGCGTCGATTAACTTTCGGCCAAATTCAAACGTCCAAAAGCAATGTCCGCCTCGTACTAGAAGCTCTAAAAATGTTCTTAATAAACCGGCGTCCTCCGAGATAAAGTTACACTATTGAACCTGTACACTTAGGTAGTGAAAGGTTAAAGCGACAAGCAGCGGGTGGTGATTTCGGTTTAAAATTGTGGTTTAGCCCGAGTAAAGTACAAGATCTATATAAAGGCAGCCCTTGAAATCTATTTCGAGCAATATAATAGTTTTTACTTGTACATATAGGTATTCTCATATAGGATAGCTAAATATGAGGCCAGAAAATATGTGGTCTTCATACATTATCAGTAAACGTACCTGAAGATTCCACCTCTGCCTCGAGTCATTGTCAAGAAAGTGATGACAATTGAAATCGCCTGCCATTGAATCATCATCTTCAATCTGGCGAAGTATATTGTTTGAAATTGACGTATTCGAATTCGTTCGGTAGCAGTAATAGGTTGGCCGAAAAGACAGCAGAGTTTCGGGTGCACCTGGCGCAGCGTCCAGATTGCTGTCGGACTGAACAGGGCTGCAAGCGGCATCCTTGCCGTGTGACAGAGCATCCGCGTGTTCGATAAGGTTTGGGTTTGCTACTGTAATCTCTGTGGAGCTTTCTTCCAGTCGAGGAGAACCTGTTCCACTTGCTGAATGCTTCACCAATAAGCCTGGCGATTGACCGCCTCGTCCATGGATGGCAGCTTGGTTAGGGGCGTCAATGCCCTCCCCCTGACAGCTTGCCGCATCTCCGCACTCCATTACATCAGACTCAAAGCAGCATTGCCCATGATCATATGCTCCTGCTCGTCGACATAGCCTTTGGCATTCTACCGACATGAAGAAATAAATCGCATGGAGCTTTCTGACGTCCTCGCCAAAAATTCGATTAAGACGTAAGTACACATAGGAGATGAATTGTATACAGTCTATGAAAGATAATTGCCCAAGACATTCTTGATAGGAAAGTCGGACATCTTTGAAAAATGCCTGAAGATAACCTATTATAATTGCACTGTCTCTTACGATTTAATTCGAATACTGTGATGGCCTACCTTTTGTATTTCCTTTTAATGGCGGTCTATGGCGTGGGCAGTTGAAGGCTGTCTTGTGCGCCAAGGACAACTCCCTGTTTTCTCGGTCCCCTCGGGGGCTACTGAACCCCAACGCAGTAGACCTATCCAGGTTGTCAAGCGGGGTCTGTTGCAAGAGTTCCCGTACACCTTGGTCGACCGTTACGCTAGGGAACACCTAAAACGCAGAAATACACAATATCAAAATGATCGAAGACCATTCTCTTGAGCTGATAAAGCTAGCGATTTTTACTGCTTTGGCAAACCAGAGCATTTAAAAATGGCGAGCTGAAGCGTACGTGCAGATTGTTCCGAAAGAGCAAACCATTTGTGGAACACGTTCTCACAAAATTTTTATTAGCTTAACATCATAATAAAGTTATTGTTTTAGATGAATATTCACGACAAACTTGCTGCTTAACTTCGCTGATCTATAGACGAAGGCTCCTTCTACACCGTTCATGGTAATCGGTAACACGTATTGACTTTCTACCACTATTAATAATTGTTACCTGAGGAAAACGCACACTACGCCGATGGGTACAGCTCATTCTTCTGGAAACAGTAGCCCTGGCAAAAAAAAAAACTGTTTTCCAGCTACGCGACTGATGGAGACTTCGGAGCGAAGCTATCGAAGAACAAAAGGCTTCGTTTCTTGCACCGACTATTCAGATATAAGTGGACACCGGCTCAGTTGGGATCGTATCTCAAGCAAACCGTTCTTCTGGTCGCTTGCCCAATCATGGTAATGTGTAGAACACCATGTACTGTGACAGGCAAAAAAGAACCTAAACTCCTGGAAAGGATGAAAAATTATAAATTCTAGGAACGACGAAGACATTAAGCTAAGGTAATTGATTCTATTTGCTCACAAAGCTAGAGTCCTTAAGACGTGTGAGACATTTGGCACAGGTAGTGCACTGAAAAATTGTTAGGATAATTACTGTAGTGCCTTAAAAAATCGCTTTTGGGCTTCTATTGAGGTTTAGGTCTCACATAAAGTAACCAAATAACTGAAGCTTATTTTCATGTTTCAATTGGATTTTTAGCTAAGAATTTGTGTAAATATGATCAAGTTATGTGTGTAAAAAAAAGAAGGCAGTTCTGCAAGAATATGTATTTGACAACAGGTATTTTATGCAGTTCTTTTCAGTGGAGATATATTTCAAATTTTCAGTGTTGTTACTAGCACCCTAATATCTAGCCCTGTCGGCTCCCTATTTCTTTCCCGACCTTTTTTTGGCCGTGTCAATCGGCCACGCAGTGTGTGCTATTGGGGAGTTTCGTCAACGAGACCCATCTTAGTCCACCTCGGAACCGTTACCTACCTTTATGGTCTCATGTTTCCGGTGAGTGCGTTACTCCGCTTCCGTTACCTTCTGGGTTGACCCTTGTTAGGGGGCCAGCAGCCCAGCGAACCGCTTAAAGCTTACTTCACCTGTATAAATCCTGTGACCCGTTGCGCGTAATCCATGCCTGTCTACCATGCCGCATCTGTAACATTTCTCAACATACAAGGAGAACTTTTCATCTGGACTTGGTGAACAGTGCCTGGTTGTAGACACCCGAGTCTACTAAACTTGAAACGTCTACGATAGAGAAGTCCTTTTAGGAACTAGCTGACATAACGGCATAGTTTCGAAAAAAGCATAGTTTGTTTTCGACTCGACGGTTCCCCCATACGACGACTAAGGGGTTCCGCACAGCCCAAGGCAGAATAGATATAGTTGCATCACCGTACATTTCTGAACACTAAAAGTTGTCGCGAAGTGCGACTGTGGGCGCATATAGAAAGAAACTATGTAATACATAATTCTATGTTTGATAACAATACGTTAAGATTAGTCAACGCCACCACTTAATTCGATAGCAATCACATTATGATAGCCATTATCACACATACCTAAGTAACTTGAAAAAATACATATACAAAAATGTGCCCGACATACACAAAAATTTAAGGACGCTAAGAAGCCACAAATGTCAACAATTTTTGGCTTTATTTTTCCCAAATCCAAAAAGTACTGCTGTTAAAAGGAAATAATTATACATTTATGTAATTCTGTAACTACTCCTCAGTCGTCTAAATAGGTTTTGTGATCTGGTACACAGGTTGTTAAAACATTTTCTAATTATGTAAAGGACTAGAAGAAGACTGACGTTTTTGTAAGCAACGTATAAAAAAAGAAAACGCACATTTCCAAATATACCAATAGAGAACCTGGTACAACTATTCTCTTTGAAATACGGCAAGCTTATAGAAATAATTTAAGAAACGAAGTGATACATTTGATAGCAATTAAAACGCGTATTAAGCTAAGATTTGGCTATCCGATAAAACTTCACATTATTTTTTAAATGCATTTTTTATCCTTTTTTTTTTTTAGTATATGAATATAGGACATTTAAAAAAAATGAACGTCAGACTCAAAACTAGTAGTTTTTTATTAATCTTCCTCTGGATAATTATAAAGTTACATCATCCTGTTGAGTGATAACGGCACATTCAAATTTTCCCGCTAACTAGCATAAATTGCCTGTACTTAAGCAACTTGTTCATGCAGAGTTTCTTGGGTTGAAATACGCATCTAAAAAATATAACATAGCATCATCACTTGTGTGTTTGCCATTATTTCTCACAGGACACAAACGTGTTAAGCCACTACACTGTTAAATCATTCGATAAAATGATGCCTACCACCCACGTTGAGGCCGGCTATTAGCCAGGACTATTGCGTTGAAACGATCTTTATTCAGCAGTCTTATCCATCTGGGTGAAGGAGAACATTGCTTGCATCTTTGCAACGAAATGTGTTTTTACATCGATTTTTGCATCCTCTGTTGCCCTGCCGTCTCTTTGTACAATAAGTTTTTACCACCATGTCTCCAGGCTACGAATACTCTGATAAGGCGCCCTCATACGGCAATAGCAAGATCAGAAGAGAGAGCAGGTTCTACACAAAAGTGGGGCCGTCGTGTTCTGTTGTGGGCGTCCAATAGACCGATGGTTGTGTGAACACGCTACTGGGGAATAGACTAGAGGTAGCAGCTGTATCGGTGGCCTCAGACCGGCGCCGTTCTGTAGCACACGTAACTTGAGCAAAAAATAGCGGGCTTTGAACGCCCGCGTAGAATGAGCGATAGCTTTAACAGGCCAATATACCTGTTCGACCCCTTTGCTTTTTCCCAATTCTCTTCGAGCTGCTCTTACTCGATTTTCTACCGCGCCAGCTGAAATGGGACAGTGTCGTATAAAAACTGAGAAATATCGCCCTTAGAAAGGGCCAACCGAGCCTATTATACGGCTTGTTATGGACCGTACAAGGTTGTTATAGGTTGGGTTGGCAGGCTTTTGAAATGTATCATGCATGCAGACACACGGGATATACAAAAATAGTTTCCTATGGATGTTTAACCCAATTTGTTATATGTAAGTACAGCGTGGTCAAATGAGATACGAATAACACGTAGACGTGAAGCGTGGAGTTTCCACGTAAATCATCCCTAATACTTGATAATTTATGCAATCTAATCAATATCCGCTGTGAAGGCGTCCTTGATGGACATAACCGTCATTGTATCTCTTCGATCTATACATGATGTAATACTATGAACCTGAAACGCCCTTTAGGGCAGTTAATAAGGATTAATAATATTATGTCAATGTTAGCTATAATTAGTGATTATAAAAATTACTAGTGATAACAAAGTTTCTAGTGAAATAATAATTAGTTGTTCCGATTCTTTTTCCGAATTAGAAATAATTGGTATCAGAAAGTTTTTCTGTCTATTATTTTTAGAAATCCATTATATTCATGGAGAGCAGACGGCCCGAAACAGAAGTGGACAAGTAACCAGAGAAGCACATCAATTAACTTTGTTTGATACCAACTTATTAAAGTCTTCTTTCCTAGATACCTGGATCATGTGTTGGTGAACCTTCATTGATTCAATGGCACGTGACTTCAACCAGGCGACCACTTTGCGATGTCGACTTTTATTTATGACATTAAAGCGCTCCTAAACCACGCGGTCACAACCGCGTGATTTATAAATATATATTATATAATATATACATAAATGTATAATAAAAATAATAAAATAAGTATTGATAATCGCTTTTCTTCACTAACTTGTTGGCTTTATGCTTAACTCATTGTACAGGCGGGAATGATATTTTTGTAAGTTCCGCTACGTGTCGTGTGCTACGTAATAGCTACATTTCTGCTTCAATACCTGACAGTCTTTTTATCTCTCAAATGATGCCATACTTCAAGAGCGCTGAAACCAATACAAGATCTATATATCGTGGCAATTGGCTAATAGTTAAAAGTTCTCTATGAAACATTCGAAATAGAACGAATCTTGAATAAGAATAATTTAGAATTATTTACGTCTGCCACTAACACAATGTACATTAAGAATGAGAATGAGATCTTCGTATACTTCCATTGTATTGTTTTCCAGGTTCTTCGATTTTCGCTTAAATCCTCCTGTATTTACAACAAAACGATTCGATAGAAAAAAATAGGGCACACGCGTAGTTTTCTGCATTATCACACGATCCGCTCTGACATATCCTTTCTTGCCTCTGTGAAGATATGAATTAAGTACAAATGTTTACGAGAACCTAACAAGGTCGTACGTGCTCATGCTATGATCCAACAGATTGTATCACAACGGGCGTCTATAAAAAAAATCGGCCCAGGCTGGAATTTCTACACCGACTGCAATAAGCTGCGAATCGCTATGCAATAGGAAAAAATATATAAACAAAACTATGAAACGGAATAAAGCGGACTCTACTAAAGAACGTACTAAGCTAGCATCGAATATGGCGCCTTCGTTGGTGACAACAAGCGCTGAACTTTGCAGTAGATGGCTATAAACACACAGAAAGGTTCAAATAGAACGGCGTATAGTGCCTGCCTACTAACGAACAACTCTTCATGAGTAAAGAATTACGATGTATAATGCTTTAGGGGTACTCCCTAGTTCAAGGAGGGGAAGCCTTTTGTACGGGGCCACTACGATGGTGGAAGCTGCAAAACAACAATTTATCAGAAGATTTGCTTTACCTGAATCCGAGCGTGCTGTTTAGTGCGTTAGGCAAGTTTGTGGGCATTTATTGCGTGTGATACTTCCTTCAATCAACAATCGAGCTATTTCTTATAAAAACGCATCTCTTTATAACACCCAATAATACCGAGTCTTTGTTATTTCCAGCTAAATCCTATACATAAATTACTAACATACAGTTGTAAGAGTTTGGCACTTTTTTTAGAAAAACACAAACATTTCACGGACTTCACCCTTTTCCGCTATAGATTCTGCCCCTATACAGATTCGACGCAGAAGTTTTCTTATTTGAAAATAGCTATTAAAAATAATTGATAACTAATGCTGTTTTAAGTAAAATGCAGATGAGTTTACTGAAGCATTGTAAAGACGCTCAGTGTTAAAATAGTTTTCATTATCGATCAGCTATCGGAACTCCAATTTGTTCTTGTAACTTGGCAAACATTAGTTACCTGTTAGGTTTGTATAAATGAAAACATAACGTGTTCATTGCATGTAGAGTACAGCGCATTATGTCGTTGAGAAGGAACTAGTTTTGTATAACTAAAAAAATCATGAAGGCTGCGAACAGGTATAGAGAAATCAGAATATATCTGCCATGGTGCTCAATGTATTAATGGTAAGCATTTAACCTAAGTTATACCACATTTTTTATTGGGGCCTTTGTTTGCCTTAGATTGAAAGCGTATAATCTGCGAATATGGTGCTTTAGGTAACATAGGTATATTGTGCGGATCTCTAGACTAGACCATGACCATTCGATAACATCTAGTCTGGTAAAATGCAACAGGTAGATCAACTTACAGGTAGATCTTTACTCTCTTAACAGCGGGACATCAATAGTTAAGTGAAAAAAGCGAGGCAGGCACCGAGCTAACTCATTGTTCTTCGCTTCTGTAACCAAAATGCCAAGTTCTATTTGCCTTTTAATATGCAGAAATACGGAACTTATGCGCCTTGTCGGAATTTTGTTTCATGCACAGATCCTCGATGCCTGTAAACAACCAGCCTTCCGCTATGAAAACTGTTTTCGCGTTACTCGGCTGTTTAGTACTGAGGAACTAATGGGATCTAAATACTACCACATATATCCTTTATGAGGCACCGTACTTGATTCACACCCTGATATAGCCTTAGCTTTACACAGTGCGCGTTGATAGACACATACGGTAAAATAGATATAATGTATGCTTGTCAATGCTGTTGAAATGTTAGCTTCACCTAAGGATATACGACATATTTGAGCTAGCAGACTGAACGATTTGGCAGCATTGCCCGAAATGACACTGTATCTCTATGAAGCTTTCAAGATGCATTTCAGTTAAAAAAAATTTATTCGTTTGTCTTAAATAGATTATCCCAATTATTATTACTAGGAAAAGCTGCGGTCAGACGTAATTGATCGAATAATAATAATGATGAAGGCTTGATCGCACTACAACTAATGCCAGCATGTTTATTGGGTGCAACTGCACGCTTTCTCGGGTAAAAAGCGTCTGATTTTATCGGAGCTTAGAGCTTAGTTTGGTATGTAAATACATTTATCCAACTACTGATACGCTAAATGCGTTAAAAATAAGACGTTTCTTTTTATGAAATGCATCTTGTTCGCCCAAGCGACGCTTCTCCTGCGAAAAAGTATCTGCATCACATTCTAGAGATATCCATGTGTGTTTTCCCAATCCTACACGAAATAGACTTATCTAAGTAGTGCATTGTTTTCAAAGATGATACTTTTCTAGTTTGATTTTGGCGCCAAGAAAGGCGGGCAGATTTGGTCTGCGTCTGCATGAACACAACAAAGCATGACGACCGTGACCACGCTGTTCGAATCACAAAAGCCAAGTGCGCGCGCCAAGCTAATCCCAAAATGTATCGACAACAACAGAGTTGTTTTCTAATTTAACTGCAGTATGGGTAGTTAAAAAATAATGCAGCTGAACGACTACATCAAAAGGACGCCGAAGCAAAGTCCGGTAGGTAAATTTTCACTTACATGCTCCAAATAGCAATGCGAGATAGACACGTAGGTTGCTACGAGCTTCTTAAATTATAAGCCCTGACAGGACGTTATAGAACTAAACGTTGTAAATATGGCCAATGAAAGCCAAAAGCACTCTTGTTTCTTGGATTAAAAGTTATGAATTGCAAATTTAAAATTGCCCTTAGTACTGTAACGTTATTAACTGTTGTCTCGATGGAGCCAAGTAGCTATCTTTGCAAACAAAAATAAATGTTTTACAGTATGACCGATTGCATGTACGTGTTCATATGCTTATTCTTGCACTGTTAACACACCAGCACGTTGCAAGCAAGTTTCTAACCACCCACTTTTAAAAAAGAACATCGATTTGTTACTTTACAGCGCAACAGGAGATCCTGAATTACTGTAGCTTACTGTGAAATACGTTATGCATGTTTATGGGTGAATAAGTTTTCTAAAAACACATGCTCATATTAAGAAAATTAACGGAAATGAGTTTCGTACGCTGTTTGATGTGAATATTAGGCCCCTAGGAGGTGCATTTACGATTCTAGATATCGTTAGATCCGTTATTTCTGCTATGTCAATTCAACCATTATGATTACTTTTTTAGTATAATATTAATTAAATATTTGCGGATTACAGATATCCTCTACAAATCGTCGCTTGTCATGCAGCATTGCTAAATGTTCAAAGCATTAAGAAGTGGTAACCAAATTTACTTTTCCAAAAGGCAGTAGCTACAGACGAACTGGAGAATGGCTCCCGTCGCCAGCTCCTCTGGAAAATCCAAGCATCGACGCGGCTTCGATTTGACAGTGAGGTTCAAGCAAAAAATAAAAAAACGTTTTCGAGAAAGAACCGTCCCTCAAATCGAAGGAGAAGAAGGTGAGAAGGACCCGTTTCCTGGTGAAGCACCTTTAAGTGACGAGGCAAGGAAACGATTTGCGCGAGTAAATGATGAGGAGTTGATATCGTTGAAAAGAAACAAACGTGGAAAGCTGTTACGGTTATCGCGGAGGGTAGAGCAAGCAGTTAAATTATCGGCCAGGTCAGCGATTCTGTTACCGGAAGAGACTGGACATCTGGAAACAGACGAAGGTGAGAAAACCTATCGGATTTCACAGAAAAGCATTCAGGATGCTGTAGATATAACAAGCGCTGCTAAGCGCTTTACACTCGATTTGACACAAATGGGCCCATATGTATCCTCATATTCTCGTGAGGGTCGGCATCTCCTGCTCGGTGGTCGAATGGGCCATCTGGCCGCATTCGACTGGCTTACGAAAAAGCTGCTTTGCGAAATTAACGTTAGAGAAAGCGTTCATGCTGTTCAATGGCTTCACCAGCCAACGATGTTTGCAGCAGCTCAAAAGAAATGGACTTATATCTATGATACTCAAGGAATCGAGTTGCACTGTCTAAAGGCCCTTCACAATATAACATGTATGACGTTTCTGCCTTATCATTTCCTCCTGGTGGCAGCCTCAGAAAGTGGTTTCATACATTGGGTTGACATTTCCATTGGAACTATGGTGGCTCAACTGAACACAAAATGTGGCCGTATCCCTTTCGTTCGGCAGAACCCTGCAAGCGGTATTGTGCTGAGTGGGCACAGCAACGGCGTAGTTCGTATGTGGTCGCCTAACTCGCCGTTAAACGTAGCAGAGCTCCTTGCTCACCGAAGCAGTGTAACAGATGTGGCTATTGATCGTACTGGGGCACACTTGATAACATCCGGTCTTGACAGAGCGGTTAAAATCTGGGATCTTCGTATGTTACGGCCAATGCAGTGCTACTCTATTGGTCGTGCGCCCACGCACTTGGCGCTGTCGGACACCAAAATGCTGGCTGTTACCCTCGGCAATCAAATTGAAGTGTACAAAGATATCATTTCGGGAGAACCTGAAGAGCCGTATCTTCGGCATCAGGTGGCCGCTACTGTAATGACGGCGCAGTTTTGCCCGTTCGAAGATGTGCTTGGACTCGCGCACGGTAATGGATTCGATTCAATTCTTGTGCCTGGTTCAGGTGAAGCCAACTTTGATTCATACGAGGTGAACCCTCTAATGACATCAAAGCAAAGGCGAGAAGCCGAAGTGAAGATGCTTCTAAACAAAATTCAGCCAGACATGATTTGTCTTCACCCTGACGAGATGATATCGCATGTTGATGTAGACCGGTTTCAACAGAAACGCCAGTTCGGTCGTAGGAATCTATTGGAGGAAGCCCAGAAGCGAATTGGCGGCCAACATCATGGAAAACAAAAAACGAAAAGCTAGAAAATATTTTAGAGAAACGACAAAGGCGAAGATTAATTCTAGCTAATGTTTACTTCGTTATATGGTAAAACTTGTTCAACTTCTATGTTTAATAATGTATCTAGTGAGTTTACAAGCGCGTGGAGTAAATACGTGAACAGTCGTTGTTCTATGAAGCACGCTTAACTAACATCTATTTTAGTGGTATGGTAATGGGTAATATTGTTGTTTTTGGGATAGACCCTGGACGGAGAATATGGCATTAAGTCTAATAAATTGGATCTAATTTAACTAGCACTAATAGAATGTGTCGTCATTTTGCAAACAAAATGAAAAAACTCGAAATCTTCGATTTAGCCCATTTTTGACGATTTCGCACTACGCGTAAGTATGGTAATATACGCTTGACGTTAACGTTCAGTCAAATCATGCTTCTCCTCTCTAACTTGAGAACAGTGTGTTAGAAAGATCGAACGTGACCTTTTCTGAGCTACATATTAGCAGCTAGCTACAAAACAAATACAGATTTAAGAAAAAAACGGATTATTCCGAATCACACATCTATTTATTGGCGGTATGAATAAAAATACACTTGTCCATCTAATTAGTCAATTACACCATTGACCTATTGATTTTGAAAGACTAAAGTAACTTCAAACAGAATAACTGGATGTAATATGCACTTACAAAAGTGATAAGATGTAATAAAAATATTTAAAAAGATTATATATATATATATAATCTGATTATACTAAAGCGCAAATAACACTAACATTTCAGTAATCGTCCATATTATTTCATTTATTTATGGCAAATACAATATTTCATTTATTAATCAAGGCAACGTCACTTCGTCACAATATATTCATCATCAATATGCAGCCATTTACCTCTAAGATGAAAACACACAGACTACATTTCATATTTTCCCTTCTTAGACTTATCTTACAGATCACTCCCTTAAGGTTCTTATATCATTGACATGTCAATTGGTAACTATAGTAGAGCAGGCTATACTATCTATCTGAGTGTATTGTATAGATTTATTTTCTAAGGATACTCAGAGTAATCTCCTAAAAATTGCCAGGAGATTCGCATGAAACAACATTGGCATTGACTTCACTGCAGGATGAAGCCATGCCTTCTTCTTAAAACCTCACGAATAATCCTTCGCATACATTTAGCCCTTGTGCCATCATCAATTTTTTTTTTATCATACTTTGCTGTAAGTAATTTCAATTTTGTTTAAAGACACAAAATTGGTTTTTAGCTCGTTAAGATTTTTTTAAGTCAATTCGCCGGAGTGATTCATTTAAACATTTTACTTAAATACGAGAAACCCATCAATTTCTTCAAACATTTTTTGTCTCAGTAGCTTATGCATCCTTATTTGCATGTGGGAATTTTTTACACCTTCGAAGTATATCTTTAGTAGTAGCTTCAGGCGATGGCCGTTTTTTCCGTTACTTGCACTGTTATATTTACCTTTATTTGCCATATTTAAAACTCGAGTAGTAGTAGTAGTAGTATTAGTAATAATAGTAACAATACGAATGGTCCGACAAGTTCCAAAGCTCGATTTGACTATGTCAGTTTCAATAGAAGTTTTGCTTCGTTATCTCTATTCGTCCACCCCATTCGAAACTTATCTCACCGACAGATGATAAACCACCACACATAGATGTGCTTAATAAACCATGTAAAATCCAAAAAGTAATACAATACTACTACAAGGGCGAAAGATCTTCAGAGCTTCAATGAACTCGAACTCGTTTCGGTTAAGAATTTTCAACACTTTACAATGGCATTATGTTAAGAGGACTACTTAAGAACAAGGCGTTCATAGAGGTCAATGTCGGATGTACAAAGCTAATATAAATTTTACGCATAATATAACCTTAGTAGCTAAAGAAATTTTCTCAGTTAACTGTGATTCTTAGCATTATCTACGATACCCAATCATATAGTGTCAAATTAGAAAATAAGAGTATAAATTAATTATATTATAATGACAATAGTAGTAATAATAATTGTCACACTAGACATAGTTTGTTAGGGGGCGCTGGTGCAAGCCCCGCTATTGACATATCATACTATACACCGTTTGTTATCAACTAAAGAAAGCGTATGTTTTTTTTTTAGACATGTTCATCATCGCCATAAAGGTCAATGAAGTAATACGATGATACTAAAATCATGGCTACTACTATTATTATTATTATTGAGTAGAAGTACTGCATTTTAAGAAAGAATAGATAAGATTCTGCGTTACTATTTTCACTTTAGCCAACCTAGAAGATTTTCGAAAGGATGTATATTTACATAGTATTTACACAAAACACCCTCGATACTTTCTCTTTTTTTGTCACACCCACAGACACACACAAATATGCATTTCCATATGCTGCCATATGCTGAGATACATACGTAGACAATGTTGTGATTAATTTTGCTGCTTCTGCTGCTGCTGCTGTTTTTATTTTTCTTATTATCATCCACCATCCATTAAGCCCATACTCTCTTTCCGCATAGATGTCTATTTTTATTTGATGCCATATAATAATGTAATAGTAACAATGTATCATGTGTCATCATGGTGTCCATAGCCATCACCAGGTCCGTCATGCCTGGCAAACTTGCTGATCACATGTCGTTCCTGAGTAGTTCTTGGACGTGGAACACGTGAACCAACAAAAACAATCTCATTCTAATGTGTTTTTGTGTTATTAGCATCATTCATCATTATCATAATTACTGTTATCGCTACAGTGTTTCTCGTCTATACAAAATGAATTGGTTATATATATATATATATATATATATATATATATATATATATATGGTATAGTCATTATGATTATATATAATAATGATTTTAGTACATTTATTCATGTTTACGACTAAATTTACGTTGCTGCACAAAGGCAGTTTTTCTGTGTTGTGCTTTGTCTGTGGGTCTAGCCTTGTGCATTCTCTGTTTATACCTTTATGTAACTGTTGTTACGATGCTGCTGAGATCAACCGATGTTTCGTCTCATACGAATGTCTTTTTTCTATTGTTAGTTTTTGCCTGCTGTACGTGTTTCATATGCGTTGAAAAGACAAAGGATTCTTCCCAGCTTATTTGCTTCCCTTTTGTCATCGATATTCATTTTTCCGTAGTCTCATTTGCGTCTCTTTGCACTAAAGGATTCCTTACTTTTTGGCTCGTCTATACCTTGACGAGATCCTTGAACGCGTGCGTGTTTTGTTGTTTATGCCCAACTTGTAGCTTATCTTGTACATAGAATTAGATATTACTATTACTGTTATTATAAGAAACTGACTTGGACTTATCTTTTTTTTCCAAAACCTCCTTTTTCTGTTCTAAAGTGTGTCTTTCTTGCATCTTACTTTAGCTGTTTACTGCTTAGATTTATCTCCCTGTCCAATATCGCGCAAGGAAATCTTCATTTTGTCGTCGGCTTGTGAGCACAGGTTGATGTTGTTGTCATTATTGTTGTTATTTTTATTGATGTCGCCGTTGTAGGTGCTCGTTCTATAAAAGACAGGAGACTGCTTTTCAAATGTCCGTTTGGTTTGTGTGCCATCGCACGTTGTGTCTACTTATGTTTACGTTTCATTTTTCTTTTATGTATATATATATATATATATATATATATATATATATATATATATACAATACGGTGTTCTCGTTCTTCATTCGGCGGCTGGTCCTACGATGACGCCCAGAACCACCTACGTCGTGCCGAACATGCATTAATTCATATAGGAAGGTCTTTTTATCTTATATACTTCGATATAGAGACGACGTCGATTTTACAAAGGCTACTTCATATATTTCTCTATCACTCTGCCGATAGAGATGTATCGACTAAAGCCAGGTTAGTGTCAGTCGATGGCCGACATCTTCTGCGAAAAGGTCATTACTATGTAAAAATTATCGCATCACTTAACCGTACTAGCGTTACTTATCATCAGCATGCTCTTCCATCTGTTAAGCTAACTGTCGATAAGCCTTATCGCCCTGTATCTTCTCTAAAATCCCATATATATATATATATATATATATATATACGAAATTCATGTTTTCTTTGTATTCCGACCCACGGGGGTCAGAGTTCCCTATTTTAATCCTCTCCTATCGTTGACTCTTACCAACAATTGCTCTTTGCCATTTTCCTTAACGACAAAAAAATGTATCAATCCTAGACGCGTTGTCCCCCTGCATGTTACCAACATTATTACAATATTATATATA